GTGTGAGTGTGTGTGTGTGTGTGTGTGTGTGTGTGAGAGTGTGTGTGTGTGTGTGTGTGTGTGTGTGTGTGTGAGAGAGAGAGTGGGTCAGGACAGGCATATTTAACATGTCTGATGTTATGGAGCTGATTCAGCACCCACAGGGAGTCATTACAGCACAGCATATGTCAGTGACCCTCCGCCAAAACACACACACACACACACACTCTCTCTCTCTCTCTCTCTCTCACACACACACACACACACACACAAACACTCACACACACACACACACACACACTCTCTCTCTCACACACACACACACTCTCTCTCTCTCTCTCTCACACACACACACACACACACACAAACTCTCACATCCACCCACACACTCACACACACACACTCTCTCTCTCTCTCACATACACACACACACACACAGATGGGAGGGCAGGGAGATGGTAGGCTATTTTCTTAGCACTATTTTTCTTTCTTGAGGCGAAAAGCAGTTTTCAGTGCTTGTCTGTTTGTAAACCACAAATGCAAGTGTGTGTGTGTGTGTGTGTGTGCGTCAGTGGTCGTACTCTCTGGAGAAGCCCAGCACTGGAAGTCTGTTCAGTCTGGCCTGGTCTGCAGACGGCACTCAGCTGGCCGGAGCCTGTGGAAACGGACACGTCTTGTTCGCTCACGTCGTAGAGCAGCGCTGGGAGTGGAGGAACTTTGAGATCACACTCACAAAGAGACGCACTATGCAGGTACACACAGCCTCCTGTGACGGCCGGCTCATATTGCACTTCACAATCTGAAGACCAAGGTGAAGATGACATGATGTTGAAGTGTGACATTATTCAACACATTTAACCCCCAAATTCTCATTACTGTATCGCACCTTTTTACTTACGAGTTGATCTCAGCTGATGCTTTTTCATTAGCTCATGAATTATAGATGTTTTTGTTAAAAGTAAGCTTTGCCTGATTTGTGAAATTCAGGTGAACCCTGAAGAGTTTAAATGTTTTCTTTAAATCAGTATCACAGCAATAACCAACATTTCCCCTGGTCTTCATGTTGCATGTGATTATGACAGGACATCAAAGGAGCACACATGCTTTAAACTTGAAAAATGTAGGAGTGCAGAGACATCTTCAGGGGCAGTGACTCGAGACTCCGTAGTTTACTGGTGGTGTTTGTTTCTCAGGTCAGAAACGTGTTGAATGATGCAGTGGATGTTCTGGAGTTCAGAGATCGGGTCATCAAAGCCTCGCTGGCTCACGGTCATCTGGTGGTCACCACCTCTCTGCAGTGTTACGTCTACAGGTGCGTCTCCTGTCGTTCAGCCTCACGTCAGTCAGTCCCTGCCCGCTCTGACGTGCTCTTGTGCCGTTTCAGTGCTAAGAACTGGAACACTCCGCTGATCTTTGACCTGAAGGAGGGAACCGTCAGTCTCATCGTGCAGGCCGAGAGGTGAGAGAGTCCAGCTCCGCTCTTAGCCTCTTCCACAGATTTACACTGAAAACAGCTGATGGATTTACACCAAAGAACCAGGAGTTAAACACCAGTATATCAGGCATTTAGCAGATATTTCTCTGTTCGCAGAGAAAAGTGCTTGAGCTTCACACATGAGACTGTTGTGATCAACACATAAAATGATGTAATATAACTGTATGCTAGTTTTTACCTTGAAATATCAGTTTCAAAATCAGTTTGATGGTACAGTGACTTCTAATAAGATGGATGGCTTCTGAAGTGTCTGTTTTGCATGTGTAAGTTCGGCAGATAGCTTTAATGCATAACGCCAGCTATTCACTGTAATTAGCACTGTGATATATTTATTAACTCTAGGGCCTCTAAAGTCACAAAAATACACAAAACTATATACAGCTGCTTGCATAAAGGTATAACTTAATGCACAGATACACTTTTAATGCACAAAAATTATACTTTTGACCAACTCAAAAAAATAAATAAATAAATTTTTTCTCAGATTATATTTATGGTTTAGGTCAAATCTTAAATTTTGATTTAATAACAAAAATATTTATTTCCCAAAGACAAAACCTTTAATTCAAAGATTATTTGCCATAAGGACCATACTATACTTAAAATGATTTCTTTAGACATAAACATAATGTAGGTCAATATAAAACATTTTTGGATTTGTATTAGTTAAAACTAAATTGGCTATTATATGAAAATAGTAGTTTCACTTAAGATAAAACTAAAAATATTGAATGTAGTTTACTTACTATGAATAAAGGCAACTTTGAAAACCCTTAATGTTAATTCTGATGTCTTGATCAGGCACATCATATTTTTATTATGTGCTTAAAACCCAGAAACATGTATAAACCCCGCAGTAATGTGTGCAGTCAGTAACTCTAGCCAGCATGTGTTCTGCACATCAACACTCAAGCTTAAATACTACTTAAACAACATTGTTTCTTTTCATTTTCTTCCATGGTTATTTGCTTTTAGACAAACCAAATTAAAGAGTAGTTTAAACAAAAAAACATGATTTTGATTAGACCAATGTAACAATGCACTTTAACTAAATGGCACGGTTCTCAGCATCAGGAGGAGCTTGATTCAGAGTTATTTTGGAGAATGATGATGTGTTGGATGCGTTTACTGCTTCTGTCTCTCTCACACACACACACACACACACTCACAAACTGTCTGTTTGTTCTTCCTGTGCAGGCACTTTCTGTTGGTGGATGGAGCAGATCTGTTTGTGTACTCGTATGAGGGCCGTTTGGTGTCGTCTCCCAAGAGTCCCGGTATGAGAATGGACATCCTGAACTCTCAGTCCATCTCTCTGAGGCATTAACTAAGGTTAACTAATGAGGTCTTATTGTAAAGTGATACCTATTGGTCTTTATAGTTCTTTTGCACTTTAATCTGTGTAAAACTTTTTAACTTTATACATTTTTCTGTATTGCTTTATTGCATTTAAATGTTCAGTTTTTTTTGTATAAGAAAAAGTTATTAAACCTGTTATACTGTATTATGACCACTTTTTAAACTAAATTTCAATATCGTGATAATACCGTATACCGTGATAAAAGCATTAGCAATTAATCGCAACATGATAATTTGATACCGGCATATCCCTAGCTGTCTACATCATGTGGATCACCATTAATACATGTGTGTCCGCCAGCATGCCAAACTAGCTGTCGCAGCAACATGTACTCAGGCTGTTTTCAGTTAGATGGTTTTTAGTATATACTGCGGGTAAAATAAGTATTGAACACATCACCATTTTTCCCAGTAAATATATTTCTAAAGGTG